AATAGGTAGGATTTGGAACCTAAATTTCTGCTAAGCAGCAAGTTTTGTAATTTCCGATTTATAGCTATCATAGTCTGTTTCTGGATTTCCTGGGTTTCTCTGCTCCAGTCTCAGGAGGAGAGTTGAACTTAATTTCCCAAGAACTACTGAAGAGGTCAGCAGAAGATGATGCTTATGGAGGAGGTTAGGGGTTGCAAAATCTGTCAAGCACCCTCCCTCTAACATTTCAGATATCTCTCGGTATTTTGATGGACTTAGCCTCTTTGAGTTAAGTTAGATTTTTACTTCATACTGAATAAGCACACTACGTGGAAGAGTTGGTAACCATTGTACAGTTAGGGGAGAGAGACGGAGATTAGCCTGAGACTGATTTAATGATGTAGACAAAGGAGAGATCCATCCAGTGATCTCTCTGGAAAAGAAATCTTTTTGATTTCTGTGGAACTGCAGGAAACCATAAGCTTGAGTGGATTCCTAGGTAAGTGAGATACTAAGTGCCATCATCTCTAAGTGATTACTCCACTCTTTTAATGCAAGTAGGTGAAAATACTAAAGGCTGCACCATGGCTTATTTGTGAAGCTGGCAAAAACAATTACCAAAGTCATAAATTTTGATTTCAGTCAAGCTATTAAGGGTAATAATTTACTTAAATGAGGTCTTCTGCTTTGATTAGAACTAGGAGAGTTCAGCTACTCTGATACTCTGGGGGTAGAGCTGGGTTACTGGTGTAGTAAGGAGGCTTGAAGGTGTTTGCTGTTGAGGCAATTGATCATTCCCTGAAGAAGTGCCTTTGCTAATTGTTTCGTTCCTCTTTTCAGTGAAGTTGCTGTTTTTCTTTCCAAGAATAACTTATTTCTAACAAAACAAACAGGTCTATTTAAAAAAAAGAATCTTGATTTAGTCAGATATTCAGAGAAGTTAAGTGGCTTGATCAATGTCACACCTTCTAGTAAATAGGTTGGAGCTACTATTTAAAGTGAGATCTATCCAGAGAGTATAACCCATGTTTCTGAGCACTGCACTACACAGCTTCTCCTGGAAGTTCCCTAAATCTCTCTTGAAAGTAATTTAAATATCTAAGTATTTTGTGATTAAGTCATCTTCCTAGATTTTTCTAGACTTAAACCCTCTAGCAGTTAGTGATCAAGAGTGCAAGTGCTCGGGCCTGGTGCACTGGGAAGACCCAGAGGGATCGGGTGGAGAGGGAGGTGGGAGGGGGGACCGGGATGGGGAATGCATGTAAATCCATGGCTAATTCACTTCAATGTATGACAAAAACCACTGCAATGATGTAAAGTAATTAGCCTCCAACTAATAAAAATAAATGAAAAAAAAAAAAAAGAGTGCAGTAAACGTAATACACCAAGCCTGTCAATAAGGAGACTTAACTGTAGGTCACAAGGGATAGGGGAAAGTCTTGTTAATCAATAAACCTAACTTCCCCAGAAGAGCTTCCTCTTATTCTTGGGGAAAAGGATAAATGACCTGTCTTTTCTTGGAAATCTTTTCCTTGGAGTTCTTCCCGCTTCCTCTATTATTTACATAGGTATCTCAAGATTGCTCTCCCCTAATTGTAAAGCCATCCCTAGTAGAGTGTGTGTAGATGACTGTAGGGTGTCCCCACCACCAAGGATATTTGCATTTTAATGGAAGGCTTTAAAAGATCTTAAATCTTCAAGTCTAAAAGCAGTAAATCTCTATGGGTGAGATTGAAGGCAAAGTGATAGATTGGGCAGGAGATATCTAGGGTGAAAAGAGCCCATTGGGTCTCTTCTAATCACAGTGTGAAATAAAGTGTTCCTACTGAGTAGCCTGACTTCTACTTCCTGAGTGAGGGCTGTGAAGACAGCTCCTGTGGCCTGAATAATAAAGTACGGCTAAACAGTTTCATATTCTTTAAAAGCAAAACAAATTCAAGAACTAAAACTTTCAAATCCTAACTTCCTTTTCCTTTCACACTTTTTTTCATGGCATCTTGTTTGAGTTCTCTTGATACTTATTTTTCTCTGAGCTTCAGATGTATATTTAGCATCTTTAGACTCAGAATCCCAAATTTCTTTTGCATCTCGCTTTTCATTTCCTGGAATCTTGGAGACTACTGGAATTGGTGAGGAATTTGAAGAATTGTGGCGAACGTTTTAACAAATTGAATTAAAATTTATTTAAATGCATATAGTGAGCCAGGCACTGAGGTATTTTAAAGACCAAGAAAAAAAAAAAGTACACTTTCTACCCTACAGGACTTGTATAGAGGTAGTGTATTAGATCAAAGCAACATAGGACACTGATAATAAATTCATTAAGGCCAAATATAAGCAATGAATGTAGGAAGAAAGGGATGAGATTGGAAATGTAGACCAGGGCTAAGTATTGAAAGGCCTTGTTACGGTGCTGAGTCTCGGTGCTCTAGGGAAGTATTGGTGTCTGTGTGTGCGTGCGCTCACCTGCTCAGTCATGCCCAACTCTTTGTGACTCTGGGCTGTCGCCTGCCAGGCTCCTCTGTCTGTAGAATTTTCCAGATAAGAATACTGGAGTGGGTTGCCATTTTCTACTCCAGGGGATCTTCCTGGCCCAGAGATTGAACTCATATCTCTTGTGCTTCCTGCTTTGGCAGGCGGATTCTTTACCACTGTGTCACCTGGAAAGTCACGGATGCCTTTAAGCAGTTGAAAAACATGATTAAAAAAAAAAATCCTTCCACAATCAGTACAGAGACTTATCTAGACTTCACTTTCAGCTCTAGCATGGGGCAAAGCTGAGGGTAGGTCTTGAAAGAGCTGTGATAGTAGATCAAATAAGAAAGGAGGGATTGATCTGGAATACAGGTGTGGGCATAGAGAGATATCTTCATTGGGATAATATTTGAGTGTACAGAGAAAGGGAAAGACACAGCTGAGTCCTGGATTTTTGGCTTAGTCAACTAGGTGCCATTTTGGTTAACAAAGGAAAAGTAGGTTTTAATGGAGAAGATGCTGAGTTCAGATTTGAGGACAAACTGAATCTTAGATTATTATAGAACATAAGTAGGGATTTTCAGTAGACAGGCATTAATCCGTGTGAATCCCAGGAGAAAGATTCAGGCTGTAGATAAGATTTAGCTGCAATTCCTTATCATATCAGTAATGCTAATAGGAGAAATCACTCAGGGAGAATGGAGACTAGCAGAGCACTGTTGGTGGGCTCTCGGCTAATATAAGTTTGAGAATCAACTGAGGATGAAGAGTAATTACAAAGAATAAGTAGCCAGAGAGATGTTTCAGTATCCACAGGACAGTGTCCTTATTGGTTAGCTACCTAAACAGATGCACAATCTACTTGCTCTTGGTTCAAAGTCCTCCAGGATATGGCCCTAGGCAGTAAGTCTACAGAATGGATTTCTGCCGCTCATTTTATTTGCCCTGTTTCAACTTATTGGAAAAAAAATCTTGTACATTCACACATTTTCAGGTTTCCATTCCTTTCTCACATTCCCATTGGAGTGTGATTTCTTCTGTTCTTTTTCTCTCCATGTCCAACTCATCATTCAGAATTCTCTTCTAATCTCCCAGGGCCATGAAATCTTAACTCCAACAGGGAGTTATCTATCATTATCCAGCTTTTCCGCATTAGTGTTCAGACTGCAACTTGCTTAGGACACAGCATATTCGAATTTGCATCCTAGTTCTTTATGCACCAGATTTGTCCCGCTTGACAAGAGTATAAGCTCTTGAAGGCTAAGAACCTGTTCTCCCAAATTAGCCCCCACGGTGCACTGCTTTGAAAAGAGCAAATGCAATATTTGTTAAATGACTACATATATTACTTACACTAAATAATAAAGATAGGATCTTTGAATCTTCTGACAAGGCAAAGGATCTCAGTTGAGGCTTACATGGAAATGTTAACTTATGAAGGATGCATCTGGAGGTTTTGATATATCTTGGCACATATTGGCCAGATAAATGACGGAAGAGCCTTTCATAAATGTACATTCGTGATACAGAGGCAGACAGTGGAAACAATGCTAATTATGTTTGTTTCAAAACGTGCTGATATTATATTCTTCATGTTTTCCTTATACAAGAATGGTGAATATGTGTATCCTTTCCACTTTCTGCTTTGATAATTTAAAAAATTATGCTTGTAAAACAGGCAAGTGAAAGAGAAGTCCTATTAAAACACAAACATGAAGGATTTTTAATTGTTCTAAAGTCAGATATAAGATGCTACTCTGGCCATTTCTTAATGATGTCCTACAAATAATCCTAAGCATTTCCAATATAATTTTTAGTATATTTAAAGTAAGGCAACCTAGTGTGGGGCTCTTCATTTAAATAAAATACGGGTTAAATGATAACTTGACTTATCTTTTAAATGACAAAAAATAAAGAAATTGCAAGACCTTTTCACACATTAGATATGTATTGTCATTTATCATCTAGATATCAGGCTAGCAGTGCAAAGTAATAAAACATATCATCGAAAAATGTGCTATAGGTCTGAATCACTCTTTCATTCCACCTCCCAGCTAACTGTAGTATTAAATCAAACAAGCAGAACATTTCCTTAGGCAGCCATTGCCTTTTAATTTCCTGAAGAACCTTAAAATATCATTCATTACAAGTACTACACATATTTGGTTTTTAAAAGTCTCATAAATCAATAGCAGGCTGACTGTAATAATTATTACAAGTTAGTGCATAATTTTCGTGCTGAAGGCTGCATGCAGAACTTTAGCATATGCAAACGAGGCAATTCAAACTGTGTATAGATATTAATATGAAGAAGCAGGTAACGAGGTGCAGGCTATGAATTATGCATCAAGAGTGGCTGATCTTCAATGAAGAAAATGAATTCAGCATGTAATCTAATTAGTGATGGAAGTCTATTACATCTAACTGCAAAAGCAACCGTCCTTGAAACAAATTTATTTACAGTCCATGTTACCACTTGAAACAACTTTGAAATGATGTGTAAGACAACAGCTTAATTGTAAAAATTTTTTGTTTGTTTGTTTCAGTTCTAGACCTGGAAGGCCTCCTAAGAGGACTCAAAGTGTCACCTCCCCAGAGAACTCTCACATCATGCCACATTCTGTCCCGGGTCTTATGTCTCCTGGGATAATCCCACCAACAGGTAAGAGCGCTACTGACTGATGCCTAAAATATTCAAAATCTGCCAACACCATTGCTTTCATGTATGCCTGTGTTTACATATATGTTTACACTCATCAGCTATATTTTGTTCACACTAAGACCATGTTACTGATGAGAATTTATTTCAAAACTGCATTATGATTATCATCACTTCCTTATTTAAAATAAAAGAAGTTTTATTGAACACAGTTCTAGGATTTATTCTAATTAATTCTCTTGCTAATATCAAATAACAAATTATTATCCCTAGCTCAGAGAGAATCAATGACTTTCCCAAGGTCAGTCAGCTGATCACTGTCAGTGGCTAGTCAAACCCAGATCTCTGGATTCTAAGCTTATGTTTCATTCCATAAAAACTCTAAACTAGATTAACATGCATCCAAACAAAACACCATAACTATGTCAAATAGAAATATCTCCTATTTTTCCCTAAACTATTAGTATTAGAAACATCTGAAAGATGTTTATTACTAGATTTTTTTCAATGTGCAAGTAAAAGAATACTCTTGACCACATAAGCTCTATGTCATAAACAACTTTAATAATGTACTGCATGCAAAAATAGCTCATTTGATTTTCACCACCTGAATGTGTTCATTAATTCTTTTATTTCCTCATACATGTCTTCTTACTTTCCAAGTTTCATCCAGACTCAGAACAAATTAAACTAATAGTCATAATAAAATTATTATTAGATAGCATAGTATTTATTTATTCTTGCCATCATGAAAGTTTGTTGAGGATATAGACATATAAATATGTAAGTGTCATTTAACAATAACTGGAACAGGAAAGAGAATCTAGCAAGATCAGGACAAAGTCTTCATTTTTTTTCTCTGAATACCCATATTAGTGTTTTCTTTTTCTATTGTAACACTTGTCTTTCTCTAGGCTGTGATACAATCAGAGGTGTCATTTCACATTCCATACTGCATTGAAAACTCCTTGGGAGGAATGGCTTTTTAAACTCACCTTTACTTTTGTGGCAGTGTCTGAACAGTTTGTTCACTTTTATGAACCTTTATCAAACATCCACTGAGTTGAATTTGAAGTTATTTGTTCATTTTATGTATTTACATTTTTTAGTAAGATACCAAAGGTTTTTAAAGTAAATGATTCACTTTCCAATGAAGAATTATAGTTTTATGCTAATGCTTGCAGGTGAAAAATTGAGAAACAGAAAAATGAAATCAATAGCTGAAAATAACCCAATTACAGAGCATGTATCATCATTTCTATTCATTAATTTAGGTCATGATTCACAAGTGACTGAATCCTACTGCCTGAAATTCTAATTCCAAATTTGATATTTAGGAATGAAGTAGGTAGCATTTTGTTAAGGCTGAACATTTTATTTAACTGATTAAAATTTTCTGATTTGCAAATTTTGGGCAAGGGGGTTGGTACTGTGCAGACAACGTGGAAAGAAAATCTTAGCTTTTTATGTTTTATGATTGAAAGACTCAGGAGTGCTAGAAGAAAGACAAGCGTCTTTGACTTCTCAAGGAATATGTCTGGGGCTTTAAAAATAATCATTTTAATAATCATTATTTTGTATTTGATAAGTTTGTGTTGATTCTAACTAATCACAGTTATATTTGAGGTGAAAAGTATTCTAGATTGTTTTCGTATTGAAATAGGGAAGATCTAGCTCCAAATTGCCTGTCAGCGTTTTAAGGTGAAAAGAATAAATACTTCACCACCTAAGAGATGGTGAGATATAATGATATAATCAGGATCTAAGTATAGCAGCACCTTCCACAATTAAGACCATCAAGTAACTTTGGGGTAAGTGAAGTTTGGAAACAACTGAATATCACAAGCCAAAACTGAAAGTCAAATTATTAAGTCATTTTTGATAGATCCCTTTCTGAAATATCTTACACACTTGTTTGACTTGGTGAACAGAGATACTGAAGGTAATTTTAACTTGACTCATCACTTCATTTTTGAAGCAGGACCATTTCATATATTTTATGTGCTTTTTAAAAAGAACTTTGGCTCTTCCTAATATGTTGTGAGCCAAGAAATTAAGATTTCTCTTGAGCTATTACATTGAAACAAACCTTAAGAGTCATATTCTAGAGGAGGATGAGGAAATGGAGACTTACCAGGAGAGGAGACTGAATTTGAAGAAGTGGATTTAGATAGTTCAATACTCTATAGAGCCCAGGGAATGGCTTTAGAACAAGTCTTGTGAGCTCACTGTTGCCTAATTCACTTAATTCAAATTTTAGACTTTGGGCCAAAGATATGAAGCCACCAGAAGTTTGACCGTTGTGCATGAATCATGCTATCTTAATATATTCTAATGGTTGCTCCTTTTACACAAAGTTTTTCTAGATGGAGAAGTCTCTAGATTTTAGAGACTACAGAATAATATCTTAAAATCTTGGAGAATGTTTATGCTATCTTAAAACAGCTGGAAACTTAATAATTGTAAAGATATCATATAGTTCACAAAAGCGCGCTGGTGATAAAGAACCCACCTGCCAATACAAGAGATGTAAGAGATGTGGGTTTGATCCTTAGGTTGGGCATGGCAACCCACTCCAATATCCTTGCCTGGAGAATCCCATGGACAGAGGAGCTTGGTAGGCTGCAAAGAATTGGATAGGACTGAAGCCACTTAGCATGCACAATAGTTATATCAGTATCTTTTAATGACTTGGAAATCATTGTTCTAAAGCTAGCAAAACAAATACAAAAAACATATAGACCTCAGAAGAACAAAGAAGAAGACAACTCACTCTCAAATCTCAAATCCTTCTAAGATTACATCATTGACTGCATATAAATATTGACCTGTACTTTTGTACTCCAATATTACTATTTGAAAAGCATGAAAGATACAGATTCACCTTCAAGGTTGTCTGAATTTGTCCTTGAAAAAAGTTTATTTATTTTGATAATTTATAAAAATCTGTCAATTTGTTTCTAATCATTTCCTCATTTTTCTTTTCAACAACTGAACACTGTAGTTGTTATGATCTTTCCTTAGGGACTTTGCTTTTCTAAAAAAAAAAAGGAAAAAAGACTATATTTTTAAAAAGTGTGTTCCCAGCCCTAGGATTATTTACTTAGGTATCTATAATTTGAAAAGAAAAAAACTTTAAAATTGCTTATGGAGTTTTTGTTTGCTATTTTGGTTGTTCAAGTGGGCTTGTGTGTAACCTTAGAAGGGGGCGTGGGCAGATGGTGAGAATTTCTAAATTTATGGTTGTCACGGGTGCTATAGCAACCAGAAGTGGAAGTTAATGAAAGAAAGAAGGCTCTTTGTAGAGTCTCACAACACCACACCTCCTGTAGTGCTCTCTGCATTTATTTGGACTGAGCACATATCATAAATCATTTTTGATAATAAATACCAGTTTGAAATAAATTCATCCTAGCAACAGAATTTCAGTAACATTCATACTTTTTGTAGAATCACGTGTATTTTACAATTAAGGAAAGGTTTATTTAAGAATTCAAAATACTCCCCTCCTGTGCCAGGAGTGCAATTTGGGATAGCATATTCGGCCAACTTCTTGATTTTATCTTTAGGGCAGAATGCAAACTAGTTTTGAAACACAATTTTCATGTAAGTATTAAGAAATAACTCAGTGAGTCTCAAATATTTGCTTTTTTCATTAAAAAAGTTATCCATTACCTATTTTTTCCAAATACATTCAAATTAAATGAATGAATGTTTCATAGTTTTGCTTCTTAGACACATCTTTTCTCTCACTGTGACCTTGTAGGCAAATAATCAATATGTGATCAGGATAAAAAAAAAGCAATTGCAAATACATATGTACTATGCTTAAAAAGTAAGAACCTATAAATGAAGTTTTAATATTGTGGAAATAATACTATGCTAGGGCAGTATTAGCAAGAGTCAATTCTGTTGAAATATTTTCATCTTAAAAAAATAGTGGGAAAGTATTCTCATATGGATTTATAATTCAAAGACATTTTCGAAGTTTATAGGCTTTATTTTTCTTTTTAAATATTACCAAGTAACTGGCAACTGCATCCAAACTACCTGTTTTTTTTTTTTTTTTCCTGTAGTATCAACATTTGTAATATTTTAAATTCATTAAGCATTTCAACTTCCAAGGGAAAAATTCATTATGTGGAGATGTGTTTTCCATATTGAGAACTTTATCATAACAAAAGCATTGTATTCCCTGGAGAGACTCCCAAGTAAGAATAACAAGTAAAACAGTCACAAATGAGTTGATCATCTTCACTAATAATTTAAACATAAAAATCTTTTGAATGCCTTACTCAAAGAATAAATATGATACAAAATATTTAAGACATTAATGTTTAGGCAATATGTGTAAGTATGTATTTTCATACTTCTGTATGTAGGAAATACTTGTGAAACTTAATCATTGGACATTTTGAAAGTAATGCATTTGACCTATCAGTATCTGATGCATGTTGTTTGTTGTTGCTGTTTAGTAGCTAAGTCCTATCTGACTCTGCTGAGATCCCATGGACTCAAGCAGCCTACCAGGCTCCTCTATCCATTGGATTTTCCAGGCAAGAATACCGCCGTGGGTTGCCATTTCCTTTTTTATGGGATCTTCCCAACCCAGGGGTCCGAACTCACATCTCTTACATTGGCAGGCATTTCTTTATCACTGAGCCACCAGAAATTCAAATATTTTTCCCTTTAAATTTTTCTTAAAGAGAAAGTAATTTATCTTTAAGTCATTTATCTTCCTTTTCCTTTTTGGAAGGCGGATAGCTCAGTTGGATAAAGAATGAGCCTGCAATGCAGGAGAACCGGTTCAATTCCTGGGTCAGGAAGATCCCCTGGAGAAGGGATAGGCTACCCACTCCAGTATTCTCAGATTTCCCTGGTGGCTCAGCTGGTAAAGAATCAGCCTGCAATGCGGGAGACCTGGGTTCGGACCCTGGGTTGGGAAGATTCCTTGGAGAAGGGAAAAGCTAGCCACTCTACTATTCTGGCCTGGAGAATCCCTT